ACAGATTCACTGAGCCACGGGCCATTGCAGCCTGACCTGCCTCTCTGACCTTGACTTCTACCAAGATCCCATCTCTTCTTTTCTCCTGTCTAGGTTCCAGCTAGAGGTCCTTGATAATCCGATTGAAAAGGACAGAACAAAACACAGAAGCATCTGTTCCTCCAGAGTCCCTAGCTTGTGCTTGTTCATTCAAACTGAAGATGGGGGAGGCAGGGTTCTAACTCACCAGGTTCACCCAGAGTTTGGAAATGCTGGTGACAGAGTTTGAGTGCCAGCCCTGTCCTACGTTGACTCCTAGTGCCTAGGTTCCATACACAGTCTGCTCACTTCTGTAGATGACAAGAGTAATGATAAGCATGGTTTATGGAGGGCTCTCTGGGACTATGTCCATGTCACCACCCACCCCATTTACAGCAACCCATTTAATCCTTACAGCATGCCCCTGATGTCTGTGTTACTGCCTCTACTTTATAGATAAGGAAATAAGTCCAGAAAGATGAACTGTCTCAGCATAGTCACAGGCCATATGGAAGCCCAGCCTCACACTCATGGATGATGCTCTAAAGCTGACACTTTGTCCCAAGCTTGGAGTCACTGGACCTGTGCTAGTGGGCATCTGGCTCCCTCCAGCTCTGCTCTGTCCCACATAACTGCTGCTCTTGCTTTTCTGAGCAGAAAGGGTGGAAGGGTGGGGGGGAAAGGCCTGTAAAGACTTCCTATCTCAGGAGCAGAGATGGGAAATGCAGAAACAGAGCCGTGCCCAGCTGGAAAGGGTCTCGAAGACAGAGGGCAAAGGGGCTGGGTTCTGTCCTGCAGGGGGGCAGGCTGGTTCAGAGCCCAGGGAGCAGATAGTGAATTTGAGCCAAGCCTTGAGAGCTGAAGACAAGGGCAGTAAGGACCAGGCACACCCAGTCCCAGGATAGCATGAAGGTCTGCGGTGCTGGGCATGCTTGACATAGCAAGCAATTCAACTGCAAAGGGCAGTAGAGGTCAGATGATGGAGGCTGTGAAGCCAGGCTAAGGACTCTGACCTTCAACAGAATACATGGAGGCATGGAAACGAGGATGAGTCTCCCGCATCACAGCAGTAAGTGGGCACAGGTGGGTGTTGCAAGTGACCTGGTTGGCTGCTCTGTCTTTCTTCTGTGTATACTGTGGTCTGAATAGCCTGAGGCTACAGACACCACCAGCCAGGCGCTGAAGGTCTTACAACTAGATTTCCTTGCCTCCACTTAGCTTTCTTCCAGAAAGATGGACAAATGATTGAGCCTCTCCGAGCCTCACCTTCTATCAAATGGGGACGACGCAAGCTCGCAGGCTGTGAGAGTGAGGGGAAAGCAGGTGGCAGAGCAGAGCAGGTCTGTAATGGAATCCTGTGACTGTGTGGACTGCACTGGGCTTCCAGCTTGGCTCCTGGGAAGCATGCATGGCCTCTTAGCAGGGTCTATAGAGCACGGCCACCACGCACCATGTTGCCTGTAAGGTGCAGGGCTCCTGCCCTTGTCCTTTCTCTTACTGACTCTTGGGAGGCTGCAGTGACTTCCTTAGCAAGCCCTCAGGAGATGCCATGCTTAGCTCCATGCCACTCGCTGCTAAAGCACCTCTGGCACACACACTCAAACGTCACCCCTGTGGGAGATTTTACACACTCCCCTCTGAGCCGCTCTCCAGTCGCCTTGCTGAAGAGTGAACCACAGCTGATCCCCACCTCACGGGGGAGGAAACAAGTGCAGAGACGGAAGGAAGACCAGCACTGTTTGGATACCTGCGACATGCCCGGGGCACTGTTCTCATTTTTCCACCTTCCCAGGGCTCCAACCACTGGGATTATCTTCAGTACAGTAATGTAGACACAGGGGATCGGAGACGACAGGGGCGTGTTCAAGTCTCTACAGCAAGGACCCCACACCTGTTTGTAGCCCCGAGTCTGAGATTTAGGACATTTGCCACGTGTGGTCAACAGACTGCCCCCTCCCAGGGGTTTTGAGGACCAGATGGACTAAAGGGTGTGAGTGGGCCCAAGGATGGTGAATGGAAGTGCTGTCTTGTCTCCTTTTACCTTCATGAGGAGAGAAGGAACAGACACATGGGGAAGACTGCGGGTGTCCGGGTCACAACACACCATTAGCAGATCAGCACTCGCAGCCCCCAGGACAGCGGCCTGCCCTGGCCACCCCTCCACAGGGACTTTCCCCCTACAGTGGAAACTCCCACAGTCAGGGAGAGCAAATTCCAGGACTTTCTGCCCTAGCATGAAAACCAGTACCTGGGGCTGGAGGCTGGGATCCAGGGTATGACACCCACCGGGCTCCCCTAGCCCCTTCTGACTACTCTAGGCCACCATGAGTACCTCGCTCCCCTTTGGTCCCATCAGCCATCTAGAGCGGCATCCAGAGGTACACGATCACCCAGCACGGAGTCAGTGAGGCAAGGGAGAGGTAGGAACGACTGTGGCAGCTGCAGCGGACGGCCAGAGAGCCAGAGAAGGCTGCAGTGGGAGGCAGTGAGCCACTGCTCCAGCTGCCCAAGTTCACAACTCTCTCACTGCCAAAGTCTACAGCGCCATGCCCTCCACCCATACCCGCTAGTCACGTACCACCAGTCCCCATACCCGCCAGTCACGTACCCACCAGTCCCCGTACCCCCCAGTCACTGTACCCACCAGTCAGTCACCATACCCTCCAGTCACCCATACCCGCCAGTCCCCGTAACCCCCAGTCACTGTACCCACCAGTCAGTCACCATACCCTCCAGTCCCCGTACCTGCCAATCACGTACCCACCAGTCACTGTACCCGCCAGTCCCTGTATCCCCCAGTCACCATACCTACCAGTCCCCTGCAGGCTCCAGAGGCTGACATGGACCAGGGAGGGCTGAGATAGCGGATAGCAAAAGCAGCCTACCAGCAGATGCTCAGTAATGGCCAAAAGCATCGAGAGGAATTAACCTAACAGCTGCTCAGTGGATGGTGGCCAAACCGCAGACACCATGCACCCCTACCCGCCCCCTCCAACCACCTCCGGATGACCACTGCTGCTTTCTCATCACTGTGTAACCTTGTCCAGGCTCTTCCCCATCCTGTGTAGTGGATCACAGGGCCACAGAAATCAGTCTGTTTTTGATGCTGCCTGATCTGGAGCCAAACTTGCTCCCTGACAGCCGCCTGACAGAACCCCCGATCTCCCATGGTTTCCTTTCTTGCCAAGATGGGCGCCCCAGATTGCTCCCCACCCGTGCCATGAGCTGGCTTTGAGTGAGTGACTGCACTCCTCAGCAGAAACGTTAGTGTACGTAGGCTCATCCGGGGCAGCCCGGGAACGTGGTGTTCTCACTGCACACCTGTGAGGTGTGCCACATAGGTGGGGGAGTCACCTGTAGATTCCCCAATCTGTAGGAAAAACAGAGCTAACCTTCCTTTGCCCCATGGCTGGCAGCTGGAGGCTCTTGGTGTCTGAAACCTCTGCAGCAGCTGTGACTCTGGGTATGGAGGTCACTCCCCCACACAGCTGTCCCACATGGCCACACTGCTGCCCCCTTCTCAGAGAGGCCCCTCAGTGCCAGTCAGGCATGAAGCCTCATTCTATTCTGCCTGGAGGGAATGGGCAGTTTCACAGAAAAGAATTTGCAGACGAATAAAGGTGACCTTTTAATGTTGAAAACGTTTTTATTCCAGCCCTTGGTGCTGCTGGCTTGGCTCTGTCTGATGTGGGGCACAGACATCCCTGCCTGGACACAGTACACAGCAGCCTCACCCACGGCTGGGAGCTGAGCAGGGACACCTTGTCTGTGACACATCAGTAGAGAGGAGGTGCCTGGTGGAGGTGTCTTCACTGAAGAGGTAGAAATGCCCGGAAGGCAGGAGGGTACAGTGTGTCCTCACTCAGTACAGACGGTATCTCTTTCCCTTGTCTGGGACCTCCGACCTTCACCCAGCATCCTGCTCCTAGATTTGTATGGATCTGGCTGGAGGAGGTAGCAGCACCCACCTCTCTGTGTCTCCCTCTGTCCTGGGCTAAGAGCAGAGGACTTCGCCAGCTCTGCAGGCTGGGGTGACTGCTCCTACCCCAGCTTCTGCTCCGTGCTCTGTCCCCAATTTATAAGACAGCAAGTTCACAAGATTGTGAGTCCTTTGGAGGTCAAGGACCAATGTCTCTTTCCAAGCTGAGTGCCTGGCATATAGCAGATGTTCAGGAAATGCTAAGGGCATCAAGTGGAGTTAACCCAGCAGCTGGATGTTGCACACTCAAAGCTAGTACAAGTGTGTTCTGCAAGCTGCTGCTGGGTTCTTCGGGTAGATTTTTGCCTGGCTTTGTGACTGTCCAGAAGCCCTTTAGGAAAGTGAGTACCAGAGACTAAGAGGTCATACTTGCCAAAATTGGGGAGGGTGACATTATCTGCAAAGTTTCCCAGATCTGCTGAGATCTGCACATGCCCAGCATCCCCTGGAAACTGGTGAATGAGGCTAAGATGTAGTTCCATGGTAGTGGCAAGCAACAGGCCACAGAAATGGTTGCCCAAGCCCCGGAGAGAACATTTTCATCTAGGACTTGGGATGCCAGGAAAGCTGACAGAAGATCAGTTATGCGGGGATATAGGAATGAGTGAATTTACCCAGCACAACGGAAGAAAACAGCTCAAGTAGTGACAACTTCAGGAACAGGGGGGACAAAAAAGCTGTCCAGAGGTCAGGTTAGATAAGCAGAGGTCAGCCACAGAGGGTCACAGAACCCAGAGCAGGGAAGATACCTCATCAGCTCTGAGTAGGGCAAGTCAAACTACCCCCCAGAGAACCAAATCTCAGCAGGCAGGGGGCCCTGAGACCTCCATGAAGGATCAGGGGCCCTGGGTAGCACCACAGAAGGGCCCAATCAGAGGCCAGCATTAGGAGATGGGAAGGGCTTCTGAGAGTCTGACTGTAACATAGGACCTCAGAAAGCCCACTCTACCTGCAGGTCAGACAAACAAGCTACAACCGGAAGCTTGTGCGCGGGGTGGGGGTGGGGGGTGGGGGGCTGCCCCTCATGTGTGTTCTTTTCAGTTCCCAATATGCTTCAGCTCACTGCCTCACTTGACGGTCTACAGAAGCCCGCTTGGGAGGTGGAAAACAACGGAGGCTGTCAGGCTAGACCCAGGAAGCAGCTTCATCTCAGCCCTGGACATCAGGCTCGAAGCCCAGCTCTTTGTCGGGAAGGGGGTCCCCGGGGCTGTCTGGTAGCCCGTAGTACAGGTCTTCCTCCTCCTGCTCCGGCTCCTCTGCACTTGCCTGGATAGTCTCCTTCTCCTTCTCCTTCATCCTCAGGGACCACTGCTGCTTGCTGGGCGGAGCTGCCTTCGGCACCTGCCCCTCCAGGCTCATGTCCTCTGATGTAGGGGTGTCATCAATGAGAGCAAAGTCGCTGAAGCGATCCAGTGGACCCCTGCTGGCCCAGGGCACCTGTGTGTGTGGCTCCTCTCTGTTGGGTGGGGATGGGTGAGGACTGCTGCCTTCACTGGAGCCCACGTCCAGGTCATCTTGGAATGACGCCAAGGGTGCAGAGCCTTGGGAACATGCTGGAGGGCTGCAGAGTCAAATGGACCGAGTGAAGGGAAGGCCCTAGGTCACATTGTCTGGGTCCAGATCCCAGTCACTATGTGCAATAAGTTCATGTACCTCCTTCCCTGCCCCCCTGGAAACTGGGACAATGTGAATCCTCTCCCGTGTGGTTGTTTCTGAGATTTACAGCATGTAAAATGTTCCCAACTCTTCACACAGTGCCTGCACATAGTAGGTGCCCAAGAAAACAAAATAACAGCAAGGAAACCAAGACAACCCACCCAGTGGCTCATGCACAGCTGCAGGCACGGAGGAGCCTTCTCTGGCCCCTCGGTCCCTTCACACTGCCCGTCCCTCTGTGCCCCGCCCCCCAGGGGACTGGGAGCTCGGGAGATTGGAGGCCAGTCAAGGCCTGAGAATGTCCAGCAATGGTGGACCATGTAGATGGGTAGATCAGTCAGAGACTTGACTTGAAAATAGACAGGAACCGGGCTGTGGCAGGGACTAAAACTTACCGGAGATACTGAGCAGGCCAGCAGCCCAGCCAGGATTGAAAGCCCAGCCCTCTGCTCATAACAAGCATTTAGAAAGGGAAGAACTGTGCTGGGCACTTAGACATTAACCCTGTCCCCTGAGAGAAACTGCTCAACAGAGTCCAAAACCACCACACTTATACAGCCAAGGAGTAAAGATCAGCATCTAGGTCCCTTAGAGCCCCAGGCCAACTTCACTTAGCTGTGACACTCCCCCTCGGCTGCTGCTCCCTAGAGTCCCTGCCACCCTCTTGGCACACAGCGCATCTGCACATGCACACACAAGCTTGCCCTAGAGCGGGGCAGCCCTCCCGCTCATATGCTGCCCACTCACCTGCTCTGAGAGCCGGATATTTCTACCTCACTCTCATCCAAACCCCTATGGACGACCACTGCGGCTTCCATCCAGGCCTGAGCAGTGCGAGGCTCGCCTTCCCCACCACTGCTGACTCCAGTCTTCAGCTCGGGGGCCAACAGGGGCCTGGGATCCTCACGATAGCCCAGGACCTTCATTTGGATGTGAGTGAAGTCCGGAAGGCTCTGATCGTAGGCGGCTTCTTCCCACAGCCTGACATAAGGGGGTTGGGGGCTGGGTCCAACAGACAGTGGGAGAGAAGTCAGGCAGGTAGGTATGAGTTCCCTCACCATGCCACCCCCCCATCTGCTATGGGGCCGTGGACCCACCAATTTCAAAAGAATAATTCCAGGGGCATCTCTGTACCCAAGTCACAGATGGTGAGGCTGAGGCCCAACTGAGTGTACAAAGCTCCGGCCTGAACCCAAGTCAACATCACAATGTCTCAAAAGGAACCCACAGCACGTAATGGTAAGATGGTGAGGACTCGGCATGAAGGCTTGCTGAAGCACGCCCCAACTCAGCCATCACAGCGCTGATGCTTAGCAGAATCAGCCACAGCTGACTGTGGACTCCATGTCTGCAAGGCTGGGAAGTGATTAGCCCTACATTCCCTGTAACTCCAGGAGGTGCTGGGAGGAAACTGAGGCACAGCAACTGAGGCTGGCTTGTATATAGGATGACACAGACCCTGCTTAGTGGATCGGGGCCATAGAGATCTGTACTCTGTCACTGTGCTTCAGAGACCAGGCCCTTGTCCAAGGTCACATGGCTGGGAGGAGACAAGACAAAGGAAGGAACCCCAGGTGGCCTGAGCTAGGTTATAGGCCCTGAGACAGAGTTTGGGGTGGCCCTGACCACCAAGGTGTGTCCCTGTTTCCCACTGGGGCATTTCACCCTGTGTATCAGGAATGGAAAATGCCAGCATTACAGACTACCCCAAGCAAAGCAGATTGGCTCTGAGCCCCCAGAGCTCCAGGGCCTGTGTCCCAATCTTAGGAGCTTAAGAGTCACGGCTCAGGGGATTAGCAAAAGCCAAAGGGTTTTTGACTCTGCCCCAAGCCAGAAGCAGGGCTTGACACCTCCATTGCCAAGTCAGGCCAGGATCCAGATCTGTCTCCAGCACCGACTCCCTGTAAGAGCTGAAATTTATGTTTCTCTGAACCTCAGAGTCGACATCTATAAAATGGGAATGACGATGTTAGCGCACAAAATGGAGAGTTTGAAACTACCTGTGATTTCTAAGAGTGTGTTCTCAGAAAACGGGTGTGGATGGGACAAACAGAGACATAGACACCCAACCCAGCTATCCTGGCTCCCCTCCCTACCTCTTCCCTTGGTCCCCTCCTCCCCACTTTTGACAGGAGGCCGGACTGAGGGCCCATTCCACCTGTCCTTACCTCTTCACCTCCGTAAGTCTGCTCTCCAGCAGGCTCAGGGCCTTTGGGGACAAGATGCCTTGAAAGTCTGAGTCTGCGGGCACAAAGGTGATCTGCAAGGAGAGAGGATATCGTCTCTGTAATTGACCAGGGATAGAGCTGACTGTCTCCACACACCCTGGCTGCTGGGCCGGGAACCCCCGCAACCTTCTCTGCAGATTGTAGAAGAGGACCTGGTAGGGCCTCTGCTTGATGAGGGAGTTACTGTTCAAGGCTCAACCCCAGTGGGTAGACAGATATCTAGGTTTATGTCCACACTGTGTTCTCCCTTTCCTGGGCAATCTCCTGAGAACCTGCCCTGTGCAGACAGCCTCTGGGCACTGGGAGCAGCAGTGAGTAAGGGAGAGGCTGTCTTGGAGCCCAGGCCCACCATCTCCCAGAGTTCTCTACAAAGGGTGCTCTATCTGCACCTGGTGAATGAGGGGTAAGCCAGTCACTTACTTGTGATTCACAGAACACAGCGGATGGGGGGGGGGGGGACGATGACAGAGACACAGATGGCTGTGGCTGTGCTCACAAATTCCCATCCCTGAACTTTTTCGATCAAGCAGCCTTGCTACAGGGTGGCCACTGGGGTTGGGAAGGATGGAGTGAGTGAGGTGAGGCAGAGAGAGCCCTGCCTTTGAGGTCCTGGGCATCTTTTCGCTACCAGCTCCTTGCTGTGGGTCCTGGGAGCCATCCGTCCTTCTTGTGGTTAATGAGAGAACCTCCAAGAGACTCCTGCTCCTCCATGCTCAGAGAGGCACTGTACCACAACACAGGAAGTGACCCAGGGTCCACTGATGGATGATAGACGACAAAATACAGGGAACATAGTCAACAGCATGCCTGTGGGCCTTCAGAAGGAAGTTCTGATGCACGGTGTAGCATCAGACTGGGCTGGGGCGGAGACAAACACTGTAAGACTCAGCTCCCTTGTGTAGCAAGCTGTGAAAGTCAGAAAGTAGGCTAGTGACTCCCGGAACTAATGAAAGTGGTAATGGGGAACTGTTGCATGGCGGGTGTGAATCTTTTGTTTCCCAGTTTGGAAAGAGTTCTGGACATGGGCTGACCATATCGCAAATGTACCTAATACCTCAGAACTGCGTGTTTACCCGTAGTTAAGCAGTGTATCCTACGCTTATATGTTTTATGGACTTTTTGAAGGCCTGTGTCCCAGGAGAACTGCGAGGACTCCCTGAGTTAATGCAGAGGGCTCTCTCAACAAGGCATCTGGACACACAGCTTCTCAGCAAATCACAACCTGGCTCAACGAAGACCAAGCCACTGGACACACAAGTCGGAACATTTTCCATGCAACATCTAATGACCCCTGCTAAGCTGCTTCAGATTCATAAGCAACACTCTTTGTCCCTCTCCACAGAGTACAGAGAGGGAGGTGCTGTCTGCACCAGCAAAGCTTCATGATGATGGAAAGAAGTCGGTGATGGCTAGAGGAGCTCTCACATTCCTGAGGAGGCACCTCCCCAGGTATCCAAGACTCTTACATCTGTACTAAGGATGCTCTGTGGTCAGCAGGTTCCATACCTTTGTTTTCTTTTGAGACAGGGTTTCTCTGTGGCTTTAGAGGCTGTCCTGGAACTCACTCTTGTAGACCACGCTGGTCTCGAACTCACAGAGATTTGCCTGCCTCTGCCTCCTGAGTGCTGGGATTAAAGGCATGTGCCACCAACGCCTGGCCAGGTTCCATACTTTTTAAGATTTACCTCTTTTTCCTTCCTATTTCATGGCACAGGTATCATCATCATCACTATCATCACCATCATCACTACCAATCTCATCTCCATCATCGCCATCTTCACCATTGCCACCACAATCACCATGACCATTGCCATCACTCTCATCACCACCACCATAGTCACTATCATAACCATGACCATCATCGTCATCACTATCATCATCATCATTCCATCACCACCACCATAGTCATGACTGCCATCACTGACATGAGAAGCATAGAGGAGACAGAGAGGAAGCAGCATCCTAGAACACAGATTCTCTTTCTAAAGAAAGAGCAAGGATATGCAGAATTGAAGATCAGGGTCAGGATCAGACCTGGAAACCCTCAGAAGATCACACTAAGGATTTCAACCTTTATCCATGCCATGGAAATTCCAGAGGAGTTTTTAGCATAAGAGTAGCCATCAGATTTGAGGTCACACTGAACATCAACCAGTGGGCATAGAGGGGGAAGTCTACAAAGGGGCCAGGTCCTGGTTGTGAGCTCCCGCAGAACAGACAGAAGTAAGGAGCCTCAGATGCAGAGCCACTCCACCCGTCTTCCTCACCCCCCTGTTCCATCTCGACTTCCAGGCTCAGCATCTTCAGTAACCCCCACACTAGTTTGCCCTGGCTCAATTCGCTCTCTTGACTCATGCCTGAGGCCTAGGTGAGTACCAAGTCTAGCCAGGTTGGTATGTAAAACCTAACAGCAGCCATGGCAAAGAGTGGGAGTCCTTTCTCCCTCCTGGTCCACTTGCGACCGCTCTAACAGCCTGGTCCTCCTTGCTTCCCCCTGCAGATCTCCCAGTGCCAGCAACATCCTCTCAAGAACAAGGCCTCTCACCTGCTTCACACAGGCTCGGTACCAGGACCCTTCCCAACCCCACAGCACCCTTTGCTCCCTTCCACTTGGCCACGCAAAGCACAGAGTGAAGGGGGACAGGGAGCTCTGCCAAGGTCATGGACTTGGCACAGGGCACAGGGACTTGAACTGGGGTTTGAGGGACACTAGGAAGTGTGGATTTCCACCAGCCATACTACCTTCCCACACAAGAGCCCGTGAGCCTTTAACAGTTACTCATTAATACTCCGTCCTACCCCCTCCATCAGTCATCCTGCTGTTACTCAGTCCTCCATCAGCTACCCCTAGGAAAGATGCTTTCTTCCCAACTTCCCCACCCTCCCTGGGTAGTAATGGGGTGGCTCTGGCCTCAAGGCCCTCTTCTCCTAGTGACCTCTGCTCAGGACATTGAGCACATAGAGGAGAGTTGACTGTAAACTGCTTTGTAAATCGCTGCAAACCAGTTCGGACTGCCCAAGCTCCAGATATAAGAGACAGGCCTGGGCTGGCCACAGAGGGGGTAGGGCTAGGAGAGGCTGGGACCTGGCCCCAGATCTTAGAACTCCTTCTGGGTACTCCCCCCAAAGTGGAGAGGGGTGGAGGAGGCTGGGAGGACAGGGCCGTTAGTGTCAAGGCTCAGTGGGGCCTCGGGTGCCCGTCCCTCTTTCCTGCTCTATTTCCTGATTCACATAGCACAGTTAAGGAAACTGAGGCTTAGAGAACAAAGTGACTCAGCCCCCCACCAAGCACTTAGAGACAGAACACAAGCAAGACTCCTGTTCCTCTCCGTATATCCCCGAGTCTGTCTTTAACTAGCTGTGTGACATTAGAAGAGGCACTCCATCTCTCTGGGCACTGAAGGTTTACAACATCTGACATGTACACACACACACACACACACACACACACACACACACACACACACACACACACACCAAGCTGTGTGGGGCATCAAGAAGAGTAATAGCAGCAGCAGCTTTTACCTAAACACAGCACTGCAGTTGCAACTATGCCCTTCCCATCTTCCTTACACCATTCTTGGGTACCACAGAGCTATGCAGGGCCAACATGGCGAGCCATTTTACAGATGAAAGTGCTATGACTCACAAAGACCCAGCGTGACAGAGCTCTCAGCAGCTGGGGGCACAGAATGAAGCGCCCGGGATGGAGCACCCAGGTCGGAGCACCCGGGGTGGAGCACCCAGGGCACAATGCTACTCCAAAGCAAGCTCCCACCTGAGATCTGTGCTTCAGGGTCTGAGATGAAAGGGAGCTGCAGAAAACACAGAGTACTTGGGGTAGGGGTGAGCTGTGGTCTCAGCTTGGAAGACAGTAAACACTGACCAACTTCTGATCGAACACAGGGCCAGTGCATGGATCCCATTGTGTCCCAGTTCTGGGTGACTCGAGGCCCAGATGTAGGGGAGTTCTGATCAGCCACAGTGAAAAATGGACCCCATCCCCTACCTTAGGATAGCATTGGCACATGCTCCAGATGACGCCCCCAATCACCATGATGCTGCCCATAGCGTAGAAGGTTCCATAGACCTGGGGTCGATCGTGGCTCATAAGGAATGTGCCGAGGGATAGCAGGAAAAGGCCCAGCACGATGAAGCCGATTCGGAAGGTCTTCTCATCAGCCATGGTGAGTGAGCAGTCCTGATAGCTGACAAGCTCCCCGTCAGAGAGCTGCCCACAATTCTACACAAGCGTTGAGCAGGCTCTCAGGGAGGGATGATACACTGCTTGACTGAAGTGTAAAGCACAAAGCAGGGAATGGTCCCCACAGGTCCAGCTCCCAGCCCTGGGCCCAGCAGTTCCGTAGGGCAGGAGGTGACACGCTTCAGTGGGCCCAAGTGCCCAGCCATCTACCTTTCCTCCTGCCACTCTCCTCCCTCTGGGCCCAGCTGTTTGAAGCTTGTGAATCTGAGCATGGGACAGAGGCAGGGAGGGCTGGGGGAGGTCACAGGGGCTGGGCGGGCTGTGGCTTTGACATCATATCATTTGCCTACTATGGAGCTGAGCCCAGACAGGTTTTGCACCTCCCAGCTTTGAGAAGCAGGGGTGGGGCCACAGTGGCGTCCAGAACCCACAGCCTGACTGTTTAGACACCTAAAGACACCTCAAGGACACCTGGTCATCTAGGCTCAACAGGAATATCTGTACCTACTAAATGGTCACCATCCTAGATTTGTCTCTGTGCAGTTAGTTCATTTAAGGAGACAGGTGCTGTATTCCCACTTCACAAATGGGGATGCAGTCATAAACAAGTAGCCTGCCCAAAGTCACACATAATGACAGAGCAGCTGGGACTAGAGCCCAGAGGCTGCATGTGCCACTAGCATGAGCCTAGTTAACCACAGCATAGGTGCATACAGGAGCAGGCTCCAACAGCAAAGCCCATGGTGTTCTTGGATCTGTGCCTTCACTGTGTGGTATACGGCCTTGCTCACCAGCTGGCTATGGCCCACTCTCTTCCTCTATGAATCAGGGGGGAGGGGGCTAATACTAGCCCCTCCCAGAACCAAAGCTGGCTCCAGGCCTTACCACCCATACCCCTTTCATATCCCACATTCAGCCAAGTCCTGCTTTTCACGGGGGCCAGGACAGGGCGAGATGGTGCCCCTGCAGGTATGACTGACTGACATCTACTTCACCTATTCTGGAAAGCCACCTTGGTCCTGAGAATGACAGTCTAGGGGAGGACTTCTAGTTCTGACATGGCTGATGGGGAAAGTCAGATTTGCTTCCATCGCTGCCTCTGCAGAGATCCAGAGCCACCACAAGTACCCAGAGCACAACAGCTGGAGTTCCTGTGAGTGACCTGTACAACAGCAAGGGCTCTCAATGAGCTCCCCGAATCCTGTCCTGCAAGTGCATGTCCCTCATGCTCTCCCAGCATGCCTGCCAGACTATGGGGTTTCTTCCTAAAGAGGGTTCTGCACTCTCTGTCTCCCGCCATCACAGACCCTCAGCGCTGTTCAACCGAACTTCACAGTTTGTAGAAACTCCAGGAACTGGTAACAGACACCCTGAGAAACCTTTCCAGGTGCCAAGTCTGGTCACCTCCAGTCTGATTCCCAGGGTGAACTTAGGCAGCGGACTTGAGTTTTGTCACCTGTGGATTGTAAGTGGCCATTAGGCCATCTCCTGGTCTGGTACCAGAAAATGACATAGTGGAGGGAAAGTCTTCTGGGTTTGTGACTGGCCACAGAGACCTCTAGGGAGATATTAGAATCATCTTAGAGAGACTTGGAGACGAGAGAGGCCATGAGTGCAGAGCAACCCAGCTGGCATCCACTCTAAAAAAGAGGTTGAAGCCTGGGGAAACCTAGGTGATACGGTCCTAAGAGCCAAGGCTGCAGCATTCAAAGGGGGTGAATCGGCCACACCCACAGAAGCTTCTCATGCCCCCTGGTGGCCTTGTAGTGTGTCTGGCACAGCACGGTCACACCCTGTGCTTGCTACCTCTGTACACCTAGGCCCCTGACACATGGAGGAGTTGCCATGCCAACCACCCAGATAAGGAAACCAAGCCTGGAGAGCGACAGAGATTGGTCAAGATCTTCCCTAATGCCCCCCCCATCTCAGGTAAACAGATCTGGTTTTGGGGCATTCTGGAGTGGTCTGGGCATTCTCCTCTCTGCTCATCTTTTCTTTCTTTGCCATAACCCAGTCTTTCTTTGCTCCTTTGGCAGCAAAGAGGAGTAAGAAACCCTGAGATAAGTCAGTGCTGGCTTAAATGGACCTGATGTCTTCTGGAGTCAAGAATTAAATGGCCGTAGGTAGGGCAGGCCCCTCTTCCAGGACTAGCTGGGGCAACACAAACCGGACTCCACAGGGATAGAAGACAAGGAGGGGTAATCTCAAAGCTGTGTGGGAAGGGATGGGAGGTGGAGATGGTGGTTATGGGAGGAGTTGGAGAAGGGAGGGTGAAAATATTCAAAATACATTGTATGAAATTCCCAAAGGATTATTACAAGTAGTTTTAAAAGAATTAAATGCCCAGTGCTGTTCTTCTGGGTAGACATGTTGCCAAGGCAACTCCTAGTGATATGTTACTGTGCCCGTAGATGGGTGTGTCCCTTGGCCTCATTGAAGAGGTTTCTCTTTGTAGTGAATGCTGGGCTGTGCTGAGGGTGAGAGCCTGTAGAGTGCTCTTCCCTGGGTGAATTGTGTCTGACCCATCCTCCCCTGGGCCTCAGAGATCTTCACACAGGGATGGGCAAAGGGATTGTGGGGTCTGAAGGTGGTAGACAACATGGGTGCAGGGTACAAGATTTTCTGAACAGGGCTGGGCAGTTGCACACATGAGCTGCTGGCAGTGGTGGCAACCCTCACAGGGTCTGCACTGGCTCTGGCTGGAGAGGGTTCCTGTATGGAGGTCGGGGAGGAGGAGGGGACTTGGCAACTGGCTGGGCCACTGTTGGTATCTGCTGGGAGGGGGAGAGTCAGCCTTCTTTGGTGATCCCTGGTAGAGCACCCACACTTGGGGTTCCCCAGCTCCCAGTAGTTGGGCTGGGGCCTGGACTCCATGGGGAAAGGACAAGGGAAGAAAGAAGAGGAAAGCTCGGCATTGGGTGGATGGGGAGGAGATGATAGAGCACCAGATGTGAGGGGCTTGTGTGTGATCAGGGTGTAGCTGTGAAATTCTCAAAGAATTCATAAAAATGCTAACCAAAAGGACAAAAAAGAATGGAATGGGAGTGTGTGCCCAGAGCAATGAAGGATTCTTCTAGAGGCCGTTCCTGCTCTCACAAGCCCAAAACCACTCCAGCTTTGACCTTCTTACTCCCACCAAAAGGAAGGAACTGCAGAAGTGATCCAGGAAGAGAACGAGTCGGAACCAGTCAAAACTGGATTGAACTGGTTGGAACCAATAGGAACCAAGCTGAACTGCATTGAACCTGTCAGAACCAGATCAGACTGGTGGGAACCGGTTGGAACCAGTCTGAACAGGTTAGAAACAGTCTAAACTGGTTTGAGCCAGTTGGAACCAGATTAAACAGGCCAGAACCGGTGAATGATAAGAATGAGGATGATGATGATGATGATGGTAGTGTAACCAGTCTGAACTGGTTGGAACCCGTCACAACCAGATTGAACTGGATTGAGCCTGTCAGCACTAGATCGAACCAGATTGAACTGACTGGAACAGATAATGATGATGATGAGGAAGAGGATGTGTTAGGTGCAATCTTCTGGAAGGCATGTTCAACCTGTGGCCAATAACTATGAATGCAGCCAGACACACAATTGTAAATATACTTAAAACATGAGAATTTTTCATGTTTTTTGTTGTTGTTGTTGTTGTTTTGCAATTCAGTTGTCCTGTTCTCAGTGTGAACTTTCTATTTCAAGTCAAAAAGTTGAACATGTCTGAAGGTATTGGGGAGTTCTGGGAGTGAGCTGCCCCACAAGATACTTAAAGATAGAACATACTGGGCACAAGTAGGAACCTAATCCTGTAAAGACAAGGGTTGTCCCAAGGAGCCAGTGCCCATCAGTAACAGAGATCAAGCACATTCCCACCTCCACTGCATAGGCTCTTGCCACACAGGGCACTCTGAGGGTCGAGGCAGGCTGACGAGCACAGCTTCAGGGATGCAGAGCTCGGCTGCATTGTCCAGAATGGTGAAATGAAGTCTAATCGACATGATAATGAGTCACTGTGTGCAGCCGACTCAAGGTACACATTGCCCATGTCAGCTGTTGTCCAGGTCGTTCTCAGACCACCGCCCTCACCTCCTCTCTCCCAAATCCTGCTAACTCTATGTCTTAGTTAGGGTTTCTAGTTCTGTGAAGAGACACCATGACCAGGACAACTCTTATAAGGAAAACATTTAATTGGGGCTGGCTTGCATTTTCAGAGAGTTAGTTCATAATCTTCATGATGGCGTACAGCCAGACATGGTGCTGAAGAGGGAGCTGAGAATTGTACATATTGATCCTCAGGCAGCAGAAGCAACTGTGAGCCACACTGAGCATAACTTGAACATGTGAGACCTCAAAGTCCACACCCTCACTCTGATATACTTCCTCCAAAGCCACACCTCCCAATAATGCCACTCCCTGTGGGCCAAGCATTTAGACACATGAGTCTATGGGGGTCATACCTATTCAAAGCTCCACATTCCACTTCCAGGCACCCATAGGCTGTAACCATAGCATAGGGCAAAATGTGTTTAGTCCAACTTCAAAAGTCCCCATAGTCTTTCACAGTCCCAATCCTGTTTAAGGATCCAAAGTTTAAAGTCTCTTCTGAGACTTGAGAGATCTCTGAAATGTAATCCCCTGTAAAATCAAAATAATAAAGTATTTTACATACTTCCAACACAGGATATACATTACCATTCCAAAATGGGGGAAAGGGAGCATAGTATGGAAATACTAAACCAAAACAAGACCAAAAACCTGCTGCGCAAACTCCAAACCCTACAATTCCATGTCTGATGTCAAAACTCTCTTCAGATCTCCAACTCCTTTCATCTCTCCTAACTGCAACACATTTCTTTCTCTTAGGCTGTTCCATTACTGTTAGCAGCTCTCTTCAGCAAGGATCCCACAGCTCAGGCATCTCCAACATCTTGGGGTCTCTAAAGGAAATCCAAGCTTCACCTTTATAGCTTCACACAATGGCCTTTTTGGGCCTCCATGTTGGGACACTCCTGCCACATGCCTGGCCTCAGTGACTTTCCTTAGTCATGGAAGAAGATTCCATAATGCCTTTCATTATTCCTTGATTCTAAAGCCAGAACCTGGCCCCCTCATTCAATAACATCTTCACTAGCTTCCTGTTTTCAATGGTTTTCTTCACTGCCTAAACTTGGCTGTCCTGAAATTGGATCTATAAACCAGGATGACATCAAACTCAGAGATCTGTCAGCCTCTGCCTTCTGAGTACTGGGACTAAAGGCATGCACCACCACTCCTGGATCTAAACTCTTCTTTAATTCTTTTCACAAGCTGAAAGCTTAGCTGGGTGGGGTTTTGCACTGAGGTCACCACTCCCTTTATTTCTTAATCTGTTTATCTCCTTGAACACAGGATTTATCTCCATTCCTCTTCCTGGTGCCCCTTTTCTCCTCAATCTGTACATTTTGTATCTTTCCTTGATCAGCTGCTCCTTTTCATTATAAATCTTCATTAGAGTTACCACTAACAACCACATGAGAGTCTATGCTGGGCTGTTTTGAGATTTCCTCTGCCAACGGAATTAATCCAAATCTCTTCACTTTATCTTCAGGTAGACTCTTAAGACAAAGCATCTCCCTTCTTCACAAAAACATCATTTGCGCTAGGTCCACACAGTTCAAATCACCTTCAGCACAACTGTCTTCCATGTTCCTACTAGGATGGCCCATTAAGCCCCACTTAAGTGTTCAACTGCTTTTCTAATCCAAACTCCCAAAGACTACATTCCTCCAAACAAAATCATGGCAGGGTTTTCACAACAATCCCCCAGTCCCTGATACCAGCTTCTGTCTTAGTTAAGGTGTCTATTGCTGTGAAGAGACACCATGACCACAGCAACTCTTATAAAGGAAAACATTTAATTGGGGCTGGTTTTCAGGTCAGAGGTTTAGTCTACTACCATCATGGCAGGAAACATGGCAGCATGCAGGCAGACATGGAGAAGTAGCTGAGTTCTACATCTTGATCCACAGGCAGGAGAAGGAGACTGTGTGCCACTCTGGGAATGGTTTGAACATGTATGAGACCTCAAAGCCTCAAAGCCTGCCCCCACACTAACACACTTCCTTCTGCAAGGTCACACCTCCTAATAGTGCAACTCTCTATGGGCCAAGCATTCAAACACATGAGTCTCTGGGGGCCATTACTATTAAAACCACCATACTCTACCTTCTGTAAACTAGAATCTAATCACTTCTCTCCTTCTGCTGTCCTCTCCCTACCACTGGCTCTGCTCCCACGCTTGACCCCTGAAGTCTCTTTCTAACCCAAATGGACATCCGCACCTGTCACTGCTCTTTCTGCTCAGAACTTTGGAGTATCAACCTGTCGTCTTAGGGTAAGGGCCTTGAGGTGGTCCATAAGTCCCTAGATCCCTTTTGTATACTGCCTGTTCATCACCCCTCTAGGTCATCCCTCACCCTAAGGTCACTCTGGCTCCATGCTCTTCCTGAATGCACAGACACCCCAGGGCCCTTGCATCTGCTTTTCCTTCTGCCAGCAATGATCCTCCTCCAGATATCTGCATGGCTGTCTCCCTTGCTAAGTCTTTAACCCTACAGTCTCTTTAGTGGGATCTTCCCTGGCCATTCCCTAAATTGCAGAAGCCCTCCCCAAAAGAGTTTCCTCAATTTTCCTAATTTTTTTGTGCTCCATGGCATTAATCACCGTCTATCATGCTATACAAATTATCTATTTTGTCTTTTGTCTGTCTTTCCAACTAAAAGTCAAACTACAATGGCTGGTGGGAGTGGCTGTGTTTTGTTCATGTCTGTGTCCCCTGGGTCTGGAACAGGGAGCCCCCTGGATGGTATTCGAGAGAGGAGAGATGTAAGGACTAGAGCTGAGGAGGACAAGAATGTATGGGCAGGAAACCTCTAGGGTGGCATTTCCCTGAAACCAACAGAAGCCTCTGTAGAGTTACAGGGGGCCACAGGGGCCACAGGGGGTGGGGGAATCACACTTGGTTTCTAGAAAGCCAGATTAAAGGTGAACAGTGCCTGGGGCAGTGACAGGCAGGGGTCACCAAGCAATACACACTTGCAAGCACACCTGAGTCACAAAGGCCCCTGACATCTGGGTGTCACTGGCTAGGTGACCAATCAGGATGGATGGATTGCCTGCAGTCAAGCCCAGGAAGGGCAATGGCAGGGAACAGCCTGGTTCCAAGGCAGGGCTGCAAGGGGCAGGCCTGCCTTGGGTGGCTGGCTTCTCCACAGGTTCTTCAGCTAGGCCACTACGGTTCAGAAAGGGACAGCCATCCTGCCTTGGCGAGATTGCCATGGCTTTGACTCAGGCTCAGGCTCAGGTTGGTGACCTTGACCGAGTCACTGCCCCTTCCTGAACCAGATACACAGATGTGGAGAGAGACAGAAAAGTCCTTTGTGGCTGCCTAGCACTCCCTGCTTGCCCTTCAGCTGCTGCCAAGACCGAACCTGTTCTCACCAGCCACTCATTAACTCTATGCCCTGTGGTAAATACCTCACTTGGGAAAGTCCTTAGAAACTGCAGAGGCTCTAAGATAGGCCTGGCCTAAGTCACCACCAGTGTGGGGAGACAAGGCCTCTCCAGACTCCTCTGTGGCCTAGGATAACCTCTTGGGAGAGAGAATATGACAGGAGGGTAGAAATGGAGGGCCAGAACTTCTGAAGGACAGGAAGGGCCAAGGCCTAGGGGTCTGGCTAGGAACAGAGAGCAGGGGGCAGAAGTAAGGGGTAGAAGCTGGAAGTCTGGTCTGCAGAGCAGGCCTTCTCCCAGCCCAGACTGTGGAACAGCTTTTGCCATTCAGAGAGAGCTGGGAGCGGGACCCTACCTGGACTTGGCATCAAGGGGCTCTCAGTGGCTCAAGAAGACTGCAGGAAATAGAGTGACAGCACAGCCCTCCACACGGTCCAGTCTAGATGGGAAGCCCGCATCCTGAGTCTACTCTGAGCTCTCAGCTTGCACAGGTTGCTTCTCCCCATCCCACCCCCATTCCACTTGTAATAATAAGGGGCTTCACGAGGGAGGAGATAGGAGCAGAGGCCTAGCCAAGCACCAGCTGGCCTTTGGGGCTGCCACCTTAGCCAGTGTTGGTGTCCCTGCTGCCTTGAGGCCTTGGGGGAGATCACTTAGTCCCTCTGAGAAAGAATGAGACTGACGTGATATCCCTGCTGCCTTCTAGGCCCTCGGCCTGCATACTGGAGAATGACACTGTCCCTGAGGAGAGGGGCAAAGGTGACCCAGGACCGCACATGCCTCCCTTACTCTGGTGCCGAGTGTCCCTCACTTTTCAGCATGAGCAACACGGCCTGAGTTAAAAGGATTTTACTTGTCAGTCTGTGATCTGTCGCTCAAACTGATGAGATCGGGGTGGGGCAATGGTGAGCAAGGAACCACCAGCTAGGAATGAACGGGACCGGACCAATTGGTGGCACAGAGGAGCGTGTAGAGGCTTAGTGGGCAGAATGCAGCTGGAGAGAAAGTTACTATTAGTGCCACATCTGGAGAGCCAGGGACAGTAGCGAGGCCCATGTTCCAGGATGCTGGGCTAGCACCTGGTAGAGCAGGCTTACCTGCACCAACTCTGAAACATGCAGCAGTTTGAGGGCCTCCGGCCCAGGACAGTGCCCCTACATCCAGTTTGCTGCTCAGTGCCATTGCTGTCACCCCATGGGGCCCCTCACTTAGCTCTCTGAGGCAGGGGCTGGCGCTGCTACAAAATGCCAATTCCATCCTACAAAATGAGGAAACTGAGGCCCAGAGAAGTCATTGCCACGGTGGCACAGGGTAGAACCTGGGCTCAGGGAGGCTTAGATTGAAGTCTGTGTTCTCTTGGCTTACAAACCGGTTGTGCAAACTTGGACGGCATCTGCTTCTGCCTCTGGCCCTGTGTTCACCACACAGAATCTTCCAGTTGTCAACTGCTGGGTCCCAGCACACCAGCCTGAAGGTCCCATTCCGGTTGGGACTCTGATGATGACCTCATGGGGGCAAAGAACATAGGAACCAGCCATGCATAAAAGGATGAGATGTAATAAAGTGGGGTTTATTTAAAGTTAACTAACACGGGGATGGTCTCTTACACAGCAACAGATACATAGATAGCACCCAGCCCCAGAGCTCTGTTGGATGTCTGCTGTGAACCCAGCACTGGAGGATGTCCTGAGTAAAGCTGGGGCTTAGGGGCCAGTTTCAAGGGTCTGCTGCAACTCCCCTGCAGCCTGAGCTCAACCCGAGCTGGAGCCTGCAGCACGTGGACCATAAACAGCCCCCTGAGCGAGGATGATGCTCTCGTAGCTGGGTGGGGGTGAATGGGATGGTGACCCCAGCAGGGCATCTCCTGGGGCGTGGCACTGAAGGTCTTCTTCTTCGGGCTGCATGGCGGATGGCCGGGGACCCTCAGCCAGTGGACAGTACATGGCCTCCTCGTAAGTGGGAATGACAGCCTCCTTGGGAGGCCTATGGGGACAGGAAAGAAGCTGTTAGTAGGACCAGTTCAAACTCCCCTGCATGCCAGGGAGACAGGGGAAGAGTCTGCGTGGGCACAAGGAGACAGGGAGGAATCCGCATGGCCATGCCCGTGTAGCTCTTACGATGCTCGATGGAGCAGCCTGCCAAAGGCAGCTCTCCCTCCTCTTCTGCCCCCCCCACACACTCTTCCTCGACACCACTCCCCACTTTGACACTTTCTCAGGGACATTTTCTGACCTGTCCCCATTGTTCTCCCCTGAGCTTCCATGCTGCTCTTCCCTGGCACTGTATTGACACTGTGTGGTTGCCTCTTGGGGCAGAGATTGACTGGAATGTCTAAACACTGAGAACAGGTGCTTAGGGGTGTTTATTGAGAAATGAGTGGTGGTCCGTGGACGTACAGACTCCCAGGTGACTGAAATATCATTTGCAAAGTTACAGTTGTGATGCTCAGATTACCTGTCCATCTGGATGCTAGAGACTTGGCAAGGTAAACTAACCATGGAGAGAGAGCTCGCTATTTACCAAGTCAATGTTTTCTTTCACTCCACATTGTAGCCCACCCCTGACTCTCCAACGCACCCATCACACCCAGGCAACTGAATCACCTAACAGGACTGTGAGGCGAAACCCGGTCCCTAGAGTGCCCCCTCCCCCAAATCTGGCTTTGCAGGCCAGATTTCAAGGACAAATGTCCTGCTTCTGAGGTCATGTGGGCCACCTCCACCGAGTTAGTGCCTTCCCCCGTCCCAGGGCCCTGAGCAGGCTGCCACCCTCACGGCAAACCACCGGGAGGGGAGTCAAGTTCACAAAGCAGCTCCGCAGGCCCTGGATTTGAACTTGGCTTAGATAGAAGAAGAGAGTTGGGGACCAGCCAGGAGACCTGCAGCTGAGAAACAACCAGTGCTCACCGTCCTCTGAGCTCTCAGCAGGCTTTGCAAGCGAGGACAACGCTTCTGCCAAACCTGGTGATACATGCTGTCACCTCAGTATTCTAGAGGCAGAGGCAACAGGATTTGTATTTGAGGCCAGCTTTGGCTACATAGCGAGTTCAAGGCCAGCTAGGGCTGCCTAGTAAGACCCTGTTTCAACATATCAGAAAAGAAGAAAGGGTGCTGAGAAGCTATGTTCCTGGAGGTAACACACTGAACTCTTTGCTGTGTGGCCTGGGTTCTGTTCCCATATTCTCTGGGCCTCTTCTTCCTCATCTGTGGAATGGGGATAATAATTGCCTTGTCACAGGTGCAGAAGAGGTAAAGCAGAAAAAGGGTTAACAGCTATGAAGTGAATGCGGGTAATAGGCCTCCAGAGCCCTCCTCTCCCTTCTTGTGCACCTCCCAGCCATGCCCTGTCCACCCCAGATTATTTGAGATGGCTCTGGATCTTCTTGAGGCCAGCCCAGCAGGTGGCAGCCAGCAGGATGTGTGTGTGGCTTAGGTACCTCAGGAACTCGGCCCACAGCAGGAAGTTTGCTTAGAGGGCAGGTGTGCAACAGCCCTCAAGCCTGCTCCTGTCACCTCAGCAGCCTGTTGGCTCATCAACCTTAACTGTCCAAGGCCATAGTTCAGAATACAAGAATGCCCAGAACTTGAGCCTTTGCAAGGTTCTGTCCTAGTTAGCGTAGGCAGCTCCTCGTACATTCCAGACAGAGAGTGCTATGGTTGTGGGGGTGTGGTCCTGCTAAGTGGTCTCATGCTCAGAGACCAGACAGCCTTGTGTGGGCAGGAGACGGGCTCCTTGCTGGCCCCATAGGCTTTCTGTTGAGAAACCAAAGCCAGTAGGGCAGGAGTAAGCCCCACGCATCTCACACATGAATGAGTCTAGGGCAAATCAGCTGAGTGGATAGCCCCCTCTAATGGCAGAGCTCAAGCTCACCCTACACCACCAAGCCAACTACACCCTCACGTCTCCCTTTGTAAAACAGGCCTATTCCTCACACCCTCCCCATAAGCAGCCAAGGTTCAAGTCCATTAGAGACCGCAACGAAGAAGAGCAGGGAATGCTAAGGGGTGCAGGCTTCGCAGTACGCACATGCACCATGGCCTTGTCACAGGAGCCCGCAGCCCTGGGGGAGAGAGAGGAATGGTGGTTGGTGTCCAGTGTCACCTTGGCAAGGTCTAGAATCACCCAGGAGACAGACACACCTCGGGGGCACATCTGTGGGACAGTTTCTCAACTTAGTCAACTGCGGTGGGAAGACCCACCCTAATGTGAGGTGTATCATCACCTGGGCCGAGGTTCTGGCCTGAACGGAAAGGACAAAGTGAGCGGATCACTACCATGCATCTGTCTGCTTCCCGACTAAGGATACAATGTGGCCAGCTGCCTCACGCTCCTGTCACTGTGCCCTCCCCACCGTGACGGAAAATGCCCCAAACCCGTGAGCCCAAACAAACGCTTCCTCAAAATGATCTCTCGTTTTGTTTTTCAAGTATTTTGTCACGGCAGTGAGCTGTAGTACAGAGGGTCTACTCTTCCTCCTGCTGCAACTGACAGAGAAGGCATCGGGTGTGACTTGGGGAATCAGGGGGCATTCACAGACACACAGCTTCTAGCAGAAAGGGCAGGGCCTTCAGAGTGTGCCTGGCACTGCCTGATGTCCTCACTGAAGGACAAAGGGGGCCTCTATTCAGGACTAACAGTTGCCAGAGGAGCTTCTGGGAGGGTCTCGTCTGTCTCGTCACTGGTGCACTACCAATACAGGACCCACCGTGTGGTAGGTGCTCAGGCAAGAGAGAGTAGGTGACTAAATGGGGGATGAGACCGGACACGGAAAGAGGAACGCCCAAGCCTGTTTCTAGCTACCACCAGGCAACCCCAGGGAATGAGGTGTCTCCCATGGGGACAGGATCAGACAAGCAGGCTTCCTCAGTACACAGTCACACCAGGTTCTGGATCTGAAACTTGGGCCTCAGAGCTGGATGGGTCCCTTCCTGCTTCCTGCCTAACTGAGGATGGAATAGCCCACCTAACCTACGGCTGTGGCCTGGGCCATGTTGACGCAACACTGCTGTGTATATAGACAACACCAATGCCTTCTGCTCAGGACAGGCTGGGCGTGGCAGGAGGACAGGCTGTCCTGGCTGTCAGAGTCCAACTCATTTTATGAGCAGGTAGATCACTGTCTCTCAGACAAATTTCCCTTCTGTGAAGTGCAAAGTTTGGCTGGGTAGAGTGCCCTTCCCTCTAATGGAGCAACTCTGTAACCTAGGCTGGCCTGGACTCAGTTGCTCAGTATCAACTCCCACCATGCCCCACTTGAGGTCTGCCTATTGGCCTAAGTAGTATCTGTGGATTGTCGCACCTACTAGCCTCAAGGAGCCACTCCAGAAGATACTGTCCACCTGACAAAGGGAAGCAAGGCTTCCAGGAAGGCCCCAACCAGTTCACAGGAGCATAGGCTAGCCCCCACTAAACCGACACCAGCACTTAGGAGAAGTGTTGAGGAGGGACACAAGCTATGCAGCCCTCAGGCTCACACCACTGTGAGCCCTGTATATGACAAGCCTCCCTCTTCTGAAAACAGCAACGGTGGTTCCCAGAGGCATAAACGTACAAGCAGACAGAGGGCAGAAATCCCACGCAGGCTCCAGGCCCGCTGGATACTTTGTCGAATCAACAAGCATCCAAGGAGAACATGCATAACCCAGCTTTCTTACAGGGCAAAATCGCTCCCCAGACGTAAGACACAAATGTACACATACAACGTATGTACACAAACCACATCTATGGGGATCCGGGTCTAAGAAAACATGCTAAAAAGCTGGGGGTGATGCATGTCTGTAATCCCAGCCCTTGAGACAGGAGGATTACACATTTTATGTCAGATTGGATTACAAAGTAAGACTCTGTTTAAAAAAAGAAGGAAATGAGGAAGAAAAAAATGTTCAAAAGGCTGGGGATAACAGCAATGGGGAAAATCAGGCTGAGAACTGTTTTGATGCAACTGTTGGCTTCTGCCTTCAGCCAACCCCTGCCCCACGCCCACCCTCACCTTTGCAGGTCAGGAATAGTTGCCACTTTCAGCACACCTACCATGTGCTGAGCACTGAGCTGAGTTATGCCCACCCATCACTCCCTCATTGTCCTCATTGTCTCCTGAGACAGGGGCCTATGGTGAGCACTGATTCCCATCAAGGCTGCTGGAGGTTGGGTCCCAGTTCTGACATAGATAGAGCTGTGTACTTGGGCAAGTTTTGTAAGGTCTCTGTGTGGGGTTTCCTCCTCCACAAATGGAGAAGTCCTGGCTACGTCACCTGGGATATGGCGTGGTCACTTGGCATAGTGCCTGGCCCTGGCCAGTGCCCTATTGTGCCTGGGGGACTCTTCCTACCCTGGGCCCTTGACTCCCCTGCTTCTCTGCTGAGCTTGGCTGCTGCCTCCTCCTGTAAGACTTCCCAGATTTCCCCACATCTCCACAGGACTGTTCCTGCTCTTCACATAGCCCTCATTACTCTGGTTTGTCATTTGCCTCTGGCATGGGGCTTCCATGTCCTCAGGATACAGGCAGGGCAAAGCCTTGTCCCGTGGAGGAATTCCATGAGAACTTGCTGAGCAAATACTGGGTACTGTGACTGCAGAGGATTCCCCGTGGTCCCCACCCTGCCCCGCTAACCTGCAGTTCTTCTCAGAAGACTCCACAGCAAGGTGATACAGGTCTCTGGAGAGTTGGTACAGCTCCCCTTGGCTTGACCTCTTTGAGCTTTCCTGGATGGACCACAACAGGCCAAACAACAGAAGCAGGCCACCCATGCTACAGCAGAGTAAACTGACAGACTTTAGCCAAATTGGAGGGATCTTGGGCAATGGATGCTCCACTGTGGGGGCCAGTGAGCCAGGCTGGACAGGTGTATCATCTTCGCTCCACCATGCAAAGCAGAGTGTCCCAGTCACCAGGATCACTGTGCCACTGACGGTCATGCAGTAACGCACAGTGGAAGCCACTCGGCCTCTGGCGCAGGTCTGCACATAGAAGGAGAGAGAATCTGAAGAGATGGGCCAGCAAAATGTACCAAAACCTCAGAGAGGTCATGTGACTAATACCTCAGTTTCTTCACCTGTGAAATGAAGATGGCACCTACGCACTGCAGGGCTACTTTGATGGTCACCAAAAAGCTGTTTCCGGTTCCTAGCACTATGCTTGGGATATAGCAGGAACACAATCATGTAATAATAAATGCACCACATTCAATCTGAGCCTCTACAAAAGCCTCAGGGGCCTTGGTCTGATGAGGAGGTAGTTCTACACCGGCCAATTTATGGGCAGCTGGGAAAGGCCAGAGCTTGCTGGCTGCACTCTGCCTCTCCTCCCCTGGTCACCACCTCACAGGGCCCAGCCCTTGTCTCCCTTGACAGGAAACAGAGGGTTATGGGGAGCAGGGCAAGTGTGAACGGTGGTATGTGAGGTTGAATGTGGTACCACAGAGAAGGATTTTTCCAGGACATCTTTACCATAGTCGTGGCACTGAAAGAGCCTAACAAAACTGCACACAGACTATGCCATGAGCACCAGGTGAAATAATATAACCTCAGGGCTGGAGAGATGGCCCAACAGTTAAGAGCACCAGCTGCTTCTCCAAACACCCTGGGTTCGGTTCCTAGCACACACATGGCAGCTCCAGATGTCTCCAATTGCAGTTCCAGGGAACCTACACCCACTTCTGACCTCCACGAGTGCTGCATGCATGTGGTGCACATACATGTACACATGTAAGCACAATACCTACACACAGTTTTAAGATTTTTTTTAAGTTGGGCTCGGCATGCATGGTTGGCAGAAGGGGAGCACTCACACGTTTTGTTCTTTTGAACTCATACGGATCACTGGAAGAGGGAGGACTCAGCAAAAATGTTGTGTGGGATAACTGCAGGAAGCAAGCCTGGCCCCAGGTCCTACAGTCCAGAAGAGGCTGGCACTGGCCTCCAAAGCTCACCTCTAAGCCACCACCCCTACTGATCTCTCTCAGTGGTGTGCTCTGCGAAGCTCAGCGTGGTCCTTGCTTGGGAACCTCTTGAAGAACCCTGCACCTCCCAGGAGCACACCACTCACCTCTTACAGTTGTCCCCTCCTTGTCTTGTCCCCTAACTGAATCAGAGTTTCCTGATATAGATATGCCATGGGAATCAGTTCTTGGTTGGGAATTAGCAATGGGGAAAGTTCATCCTCCCTCCAATCAAGGGAAGGCCAGGGAAGGTGACAGACCCATTCCAAATCCTTCACATACCCAAACATTGCTCATCATGAAGAGAACGAAGGGTCAAAATCAAGTCAGGATGAATCCTGTCCCTCAGAGACAAGAATGAGCCCCACTGAGCAGTTTCTCCCAGCCGGCCCTTGGTCTACACACATAGTGATGGCTAGCATGCTCTGGGGGTATGGCCCAACTAGGCCTTTTACAGGTGTCCCCTTGCTTAATGCTCCCCACAGTGATATCTCAAGGATACTGGTTGGGGGTATATTTAGATGCAGATCTAACCTAACTCGGGTTCCCTTGTATGTGCACAGCTGGGTCTCTGTATATAAAGTTTTAGATGCCTGCAGCTGAGAGCATCCCATGAGCCTGTGTCTGCCAGGCTGCTCTCCCCGACAAGGCGCCCTCCTCCCTCCTCCCAGCTTCAGATGATGACAGCTAATGTGTCCTGCCTCTGGACCCCTCCACTCCCATTTCTGAGACGCCACCATCAGACAGTTCAGAACCCCTTACATGAGTGTGCCTCCAGCCCCTGTACCTTGATAGGGGAGGAAGGGAGGGCTCCCTGCCATGGAAAGTGTGACTTCTAACCCCTGGGGGGCAGACAGGAAGTTCTCCGGCCTCATAGAAGTTCCACCCCATCCTGGCACTCAGTCAGGGCCTGCTAAGTTGGTCCTACCTCCACTGATCTGCCAGCCTCCCCTGGTCCCTACCCCAACTCCAATTTGAGCCACCTGGACTTTCTCCTACATTCAATACTCCTGCTGACTGGGACCCCACTTCGCCCCTTCTCAAAAAGGAAATCAATATCACCCCTCCCAGGGACCGTGCCGCCTTGCTCCAGCTAGGAGGGGCCTTTCCCACCAGGAGACTTTGCCCGTCGCTCCCTCCTTGTGAGCATTCTGGGACTTCGAATGAGCAGGCTCCTGTCACTCATACTTTGAGTTTACATCCTGGCTCTCAAGGCTAAGGGGTTATGGAGTTAAGTCCAGCAAGCTGTACCTGAGGTGTGAGTTCAAAGAGCTGGATAGAGGGTGGCCCCACCCAGACACTACCAGGTTATCTGGTGTCTCCTTCCCTAAATGTCCCCCTCTGTAATGAACACTCCACCACAGCTGGGAGGGAACTGAACCAGGAAATCACCTACTCTCTAGCCCCGACTGTCTGCTACAGGGGGTTCAATTCAAATCAGCGAGAAGAAAGCCCTCTTCCTGTCAGAGGAGGAAGGAGGGAGCTGTACTCCTGCAACCAGACTGACAGAGATGGGGAGAGGCCTGCAGTGTCCCTGCTGCTGTCCCGCACTGACACTGTAGGCACTTGCTTCTGCGCAGGAGTAACCTTCTGAACAAGAACAGCCACCTATGCCGCCTGCCCACGAACTGTAGAGAAACGGTTGCCCAGCTGAGTGCTGTGGCGTTGGGTAGCAAGAGTAGGACAACGGGCCCATTCTGTATGGTCCAGGTCAGAGGGAAGAGTCCAGGCCATACCCTTAGCAGAAGCTGAGGTGCTCCTGGGGGAGGGAGACAGGATGTTCGTACCCACCTCGCATGCAGCCATCGGGCTGGTCCAGGCGCCACAGGAGTGGTCCAGGGGAGAGCCCAGCGCATTAGAAGGCGTGGTGGTGGCTGAGCTCTGCAGCCATCGAGCATCTGGGGAGGCTCTGGTAGCTGTCCCCAGCTGTGCCCTTGGCACTGCACAGGCTCCTTGAGGTCTCTGTTCTGGTCTCCAGTAGGGCTGAGGTCCTCCCCTCCCTGTCACCGAGCCAGGCAGCTGGGGCTCCAGCTGGGGATGCCGCTGCGAAGTCACCTACCCACTGTCTTCTAGCCCTTGTGTCTTCGATCACCACCTCAAAGACTCTTATGGCCCTGCTTCACTGCTTCCTCTAGGTCCCAGGTGCTGGGCCAGTGTCCAACAGGCCCCGCCCAAACTTAAAGTGACAGTCTACCGGACAGGAGGGAGAAGCAATTTCCCCGAGAGGTGGAAACTGCACAGATACATCTTGGGCCTGGAAACTCACTTCCCAGAGACATCCAGGAGAGGGACCTGTAGGAGGCCTGAGCCAGGACCCCCCTCACACCTGTTTCACAGGGAAGAGAAACTGAGGGTCAAAGAGGGAAAGCCACTTACCCGAGTGTTTCCTGCATCCTGTATTGATAGGAACAGCTCTATCACAGGGGCCAGAGAGGAGCCTCCCCTGTCACTTCGATATTCCAGGGCAGCACTGTCAGTCCAAGGACCAGCTTGGAGTGTTCCTCCCTGGGAGCGCTCCGAGCCTTCTGAGAGAGGCAGACCAGGAGCTGTGGCACCTCCCCCTGCATCACCCACTGTGTTAGGTCTCCGAGGGTAAATGCCTGTTCTTTTTATGAACAGGTAATTTGGGAACCCAGAAGGAGGTTTAGCTCAGTTTGTGTTCCACATCTCTGGGAGGACACATCTTTAAAAGGTGTGTGTAGGCCACAGCAGGAAGGAGCAGTATGTGCAAATTGGACAAAGCCATAGAGAACTTTGGTCTGAAGAAAGATTCCGCTCACAGTACCTGAGTTCTTTGAGCAGCAATCCTTTCCTCTGGTGAGGTCTTTTTGTGCATTTTTGTCTTATTGTGTGTGGTCTGCACAAATGTCCCCATTTTACAGCAGGTGACATGCCTATATAAGGTTGACAAGTTGAGTGGCTGAACAGTGACAGGGACCTCTGATGTTGCTGTACCCCATCAAGATGGCCTGCCAGTGACTAAGGTCTGCCAGCAGTCCGTTGGTGCTGTGCTGGGGGAGATGGGGTGAGAGATAGGAGGCCATGACACTTTGGGCTGTGCCGGTATCCATGCAGGGTGTGTCCCTCCCTGCCTGTTATTCCCAGATGAGTCACTGCATAGTAAGGTTGAGGTCCAGCCTGGGCCCTATTTGAACTTGAGTCTCTGGGTAGAAAATCAAGGCTTGTGTATTCTTTGCTCAACGTGTTTGTCCCTCCCTCACTGACAGCATCTCAAAGGCAGGCATGAACATTTTGTGCCTTGTCCCTTATCTACCCCATGCCATTTCAGAGTGACCACAACAAGCCTATGAGACCTACTAGGAACAGCATGAGCTATGTGATGGTGAGTCCCCCTCTGTCCCCTGCCAACAGCATAGTACATCTCAAGGTCATCCAGCAGTGCAGAGAAAGTCAGTCAAGGTCAAGGGTACAGTGCCTTCAAAGAACAGGATTCTGAGATAAGCTTCAACTAAGAAATTACTTGAACCAATCCTGGCCTGAGGAGACTCACCCACTCCTACCCTCCCAAGGACATTTAACAGTGTATAGAAACATCTTTGGTTATTCTGATTGTGGTGATAATAGGGTTGCATCTAGTACAACCTACAGGGACAGCTTCTGTATACAGAAGCGCCTACTGTCTGATGGAGGAAAAGTCAGATCTCAGTGAGTTTCTCTAGGGCCGAAGGTTCCAGTCCACATTCTGCAGAGAGATTCTGATCTCTCCCAAGGAGAGGAGTAGGCCTGTCAGCAATGTGGGGGTGGAGCTACAGTTCTAAGCAGCAGCCCAGAATATTCCCTTTCTCCTTAGGGACCTCCCTTTAAGATAATCCCGGATTCTTAGCTTCACACAGAAAAGCATTTCAGGAGCAGCTAATATGAAATAGAGTTGGAACTGCTATCTTATTCTTTTGGATGTCTTTGACATAGATTTTAAGCGCATGAGTTAGTAGAAAGAGAGATAGATGCTCAGAGAAAGAATGAGACATACCCAAGCATGGGCAGAGGCCTCTCCAGGAAGGGATGCACCTGACTGTATGATGACTGTATAAATGACCCCGAGGCTCCCTAAGCTCCCTTGCTCAGAGCAGATAATTTATAACACAGTTTAAAGGTTAAGAAGCTTTCTTTTGTGAACAAAGTTATAAAATAAATTTATGGTGTCTAGATTTAGAAACAAGATCGGAGCAATGAGAAGCTCTCAAGGCTGTAGGTGACTTGACTACAAGTCAGCACACTTTGTTTACTGCATTTGACACCTTCGATTGAGTTATCTTTGGAGAAAGCACTTCCATAGGCAACGTGAGTTTTCTCAGTGGTATCTGAAGCTTCCTGACTCCATCAGAAGGAAAGGTGACAGAGATCCTAAGAGAAAGGTTTTTGTCTGTCACAGGCTTTCCTTCCCATATCTCCATAATTTTTCCTGCCTTTCTATCCTTCCTCAAGCCTAGGCACAGCAGGCACAAGCGAGGACTGCTGAATGACCTTTGACACTGGGTTTTTACATTAGCTTTTCTTCAGAGAAAACCCTGGGGTGGAGGGAGGGCAGGGGAATGTGTGGAAAGCCATTGTCCTGCTTTGATTCCGTGGCTCAGTTAAGGGCAGTGAGCCACCCAAAGTCACAGAGGCCCTTCAGCACAGCAGGGACCCACATTCAGAGTTCTGGAGTCACGAGCTGGCTCTTTCTGCCAGCCTCTGAGTCATTCTATGCAGTCACCCATATCTAGGGCTAGCATGGAGGCACCTCGAAGGGTGGAGGAACTGTGGCTACAGACCAGATCTGACCAAAGCCCAGCCTGCCTCCTTCCTCTTTTCCTTCCTTCCTTTGCTCTTAGTGAGGTGCTGGGGATCAAGCCCAGGGCTTCCTGCATGCTAGGCAAGCACTCTGCCGCCGTGCTACACGTCAGTCCCCAGCGTAGCTGTGGTTGGTTATACTTTAGGTTTCAATTACTATGCCTAAGAGATCCAAGAGACAAAACTGCCTCTGATCTGCAAGCCCCTTGCCCAGGGACAGTTCGTTCCTGCAATGCTGGAGGCTAATGTTTCTGGGAGGTAACAAGCCACATGTTTTCACTCCCCTAAACAAGTTTGTTTGACCCATCTCACCGGATGGGCTTGGTGTGCTTGATCACATATGGGACGGAGGTACGTCAGGATGGATGCCTGCCTCTGGTTGGACCTCATGGGAAATGCAATGAATTATGGGTTTTTCTTCTTAAGTCACTGCAAACTGTAATTCTGGGCCTTTCCCCAGGAACCTGGGTATGGACCTAACCAGAGTCTATCAACCTGTATTTAACCTAAATTTAATTAAAGTTTGCTTCAAGTTTGGCTTTTAACTGTGGTAGTGGTCTTATTCTCAATTGGTGGGATTAACAATATCCTGAAAACAAAGAATGGATTTTATACTTTTTAAAATAATAATTAATCAGGCGGTGGTAGGGCACCCTTTTAATCCCAGCACTCGGGAGGCAGAGGCAGGCGGATCTTGTGAGTTCAAGACTAGCCTGGTCTACAAGAGTTAGTTCCAGGACAGCCTCCAAAATCACAGAGAAACCCTATCTCGAAAAACCAAAATAATAATAATAACAATAATAATTTTAAAAACCTGTTGTGAGATGAAACTAATACACTGTGATCCTGGAAAAATGCCTTACTAACCAAGAACAAGCCATCTCTCCAGGGATGGCTGTTATATGAGTTTTCTACCATATACAACAGATTATCATAAAGGAGTCTGCTTTACATAACATTTGTTGTTATTATCTCCTAGCACGTAGGTTAGATGCTCAGTTGGGTTCTGCAAGGTTCTCTGCTCAAGGGCTCCCAAGAACAAAGCCAGGCTTATCCGGAGGCTGAGAAAGCATCCAAGGGCTCCCAAGGCATCAAGGGCTCCCAAGAACAAAGCCAGGCTTATCTGGAGGCTGACAAGGCCTCCACCTGCAAGTTCTCTCAAGGTGCTGACTGAGCTGAGGTCCTGTAACTGATGAACTACAGGCTTGCTTTTGTTTCTGCCCAGATACTCTGTGCTTCTGATGAAAGCTCTCAGGTCCTACCCACAGCCCTGCATCTCAACCATGGAAATTTCAAGTCTCTCAAATCCAATCTGACTGATACACCTAGACTCCCTGCTCACCCCGGCTGCCACTGGACAAAAAGAAGCATCTGTGATTGGGCGAGAGCACCCTCCTCCCAGCTCAACATCAGATGCTTGGGGACCTTAATGACAGTTACCAACCTCCTCTCACTAAGTATCATCATATCACCATGGAGAGGCATCTCATTCTGCCCTCCATGGGTACTGTGCCAAAGAACACTAAGGATGTGTGTGGAGACACACAAGACAGACTAGGGCCCCGCCTTCTGTGGTGCCAGAGGCTGGACGAGGACTTCCAGGTGTCCCCTGGGCAGATGGTATATTCACAGGGAACCCAGAAACAAGCCAGATGGTGACAAGATCCTGCCTCTGAATGTTTCTTCTGGCAACAGTGCAGAAAGTACCTACCTCAGATGTTTGTTGGACACCCAAGGAGGCGGCCCAAAGGTGCACACAGGATTTCAGCAGAACCTGGAGGTAGAATGGACCTCTGCTCAAAGGGCACCCCATCAGTCACCAGAGAGCATGTCTTTCCTATGCAGACAATGAACGTAGCTTTAAGGTTTTTGCATGAACCAGCTTGTTAAAGATTACCAACAGAATAAAAGCCAACATCCAGACTGTCTGCCAGCTGCTAGACATTATGTTACCTTTGTTATGATCATAGAAGCCTTGGTCCTGCACGGAAGGAGTCCTTTTTACAGCTTTACTGAGGTATGATTCACACAGCATGAAACTCATCCACCTATAGTGCATGGTTTAGTGGCCTTTGGTATACTCAGAGCTTCGCAGTCATCACCGTAACCAGTTGTCCCTAGAAAGAAGCCCCATGTCACTCAGCATCACGGTCCAGTTCCTCTGTTCTCCAGAGCCACTGATCAGCTTTCTGCCTCTGCATATTGACCTGTCCCAGACATCTCCTATAAACTGTATCTTATAAGGCAGGGCTCTTATGCCCAGCTTCCTTCATTTACTATGTTTGCCCAGTCCATTGATGTTTCACCGTGTATCAGGACATGGCTTGCTCTTACTGTTGAATACCATTCTAGGACCATATGAAAACACAGTTCACACCATGTTGATCAACGCCAGATTGCCTCTACCTCTTGGTGAACATGAACACACTTGGACCATTCATGTACAAGTTTTGCATGGCCCCATTCTCCTTTCTTGTGGGTGTATGGCCTCGGCAGGAACGGACTTTCAGGGTTATATAGTTAACTCTGTATTCAACTGGTTGAGAACTGAGGCCCAGAGAAAGCAAAACAACTATCCAGGAATGTCCAGAAGAGATCAGGACTAGGCCCAAATCCACCCACACTGAAGCTTTGCACCCTCCTGCCTTCGGTAGACATAGATTAGCTCCAGGACCATGCCCTTCCTGGCATGCGAGTATCCTAAGAACAAGGACTCCAGTTGTGGTGGGTAAGTTCTGTCCTACACAAGAGGCTCCTTAAACAAAGCAGATACTCATCATCATTATCACTACACCAGGGGAGGGTGAGCCTGTGTGGGTGATGTGAAGTTTCAGGAAACCTCAAGATTCCTGCTGTGATAGTTGAATCAGACTTGGAGCCAGGATGAACTTCTTGGATTTTTGGAGCTAAAAAGGGGCAGGTCCTTCCCCCAAAAGTCCCATGACTGGTTGTCTCTGGTGGCCCCACCAATTGTGCAAATTCTACCTAGTCACAGAAAAGCAAGGAACTGGTGCCCCGATTTCATGATCTAAAAAGGAAAGCACAGCCTTGAGTAAGAAAGGAATTAAAAATTTCAAGGTTGCAGCTTCCTGGGAATGCAGTGTGCGGCCAAGCCAGTCCACTGCTTCTTCTGGGCCCCTGTTCTGTGAAGGCCCAAGGCAAGATTCCCACCCAGCAGCCCTGAGCCAGGAGGAGCTACAGGCTTGCTGGTGCCCCATGAAGGGCTGGTGGCAGCCTTGGCCACAAAAGACATCTGGGGTTCTAGAAATCTTCACAGGGCCCCCTCTGGACTGAGCAAGAGGGCAGTCAGTGTCCTCAACATACTGAGCAGAGTAGATGGGAAGAAGACAGCAGGGGCGAGCTTGGGCCATGACTACAAGTGGCACTGGCTGATTTTCTGCCCTCAGCTTGTTTTCTGTCTGTAACAGTTGGGGATTCTTGAAGTTCTTAGACACTAGCCCAGGGTCCACCCTCTTTCTTTCTCTCTTCTTTCCCTCTCTTGTGAGTCAGGCTTGTTAATCTACGAGTTCCCATGGGTATCTACTATTAGCCCAAATTTTGTTCAGGGTTGGGGCTCTCTTTGCAGGAAGCACCGGCTGTCTGGAACTGTCACCTGCATTCTGACCCACGTCTTCTGACGAGCCCCATATTCCACATTAGCTCCTGGCCCTGCACCCACCCCAGCCTGCTTACGAGCAGCTGTGTGCAGACGCTGGCACTCCTCCATTCGGCTAAACCGCTCTGTCTGCCTGGAATCTGGCTTCTGCACACCACACCTCCTCCCACCAGCACCAGGCCCTAGGACAGCGATTGCCATGGAGGATCCCCTGCTGGGCTTCCTGTACAGTCTTCAGAAGTGAAGTGAGGGCTGGGTTGGTGGGGATTAAGGCTGTGGCCCGCCTGAATGCTCAGATTTTCCTCCCAACTCTACCATTAGTCTGTGGAATGACCCAGGCCAAGGCTTTCCCTTGTGGCTTCAGTTTCCCCAGTGATAATTAGATATTTTGGTCAGTTAGTTATAGAAGGGGTATGATGGAGCCCTGATGGGGGGACACAGGAGATCCATGGGGCGTCACCTGCTTGCTGGTCACTCTCTATCCTGGGTGAGGGTGGGACCACAGCTCCACCAGCTCACCAATGATCCTGGTCCCTCAGGTCATTTCACTCAGGACCTACTGCTGTATTTGCTTCTTTTTCTCATTCTGGGAGCTTCTAGATTTTTTCTTTGGAACAACTGAAAGTTGCTCAAGAAAACTTGGCCAGCCAGAACTTATATTCTAAGTAAAAAAAAAAAAGTACTTTAGCCACAAACCATTTAGAAAGCACACACAAAATGACAACTTTTAAGGTTGTCACTAAAATACCCACAAGCATCTGCTTAACAAACTACTATGAATTTTCAGCAAAATACAAAATACATAAGGGCCACCTAATCTAAATGGCTGACCTCAGAGAATGTCACAGATATGCTATACTCTTTCTACCTAGCACAGCTGGCCCTGTCTTGATCTCTGTCCTCCCATGTGGGCTTTGATGGCTCCTTGGTGCTGGGTGGCTGGCTGTCACCTCACTTCCTCCTCTGTCTCTCTTCTACTGTCACTGGGAATCCCCCCCTCTCTCTCTCTCACACACACACACACACACACACACACACACACACACACACACACACCATGAGCCTCTCCTTTTCTGTCAGGCGCAGGTTATTACCACTCATCATCTGGTCTGGTCTTGTAAAGAGAAAAGGTGGAGAGAGGTACTCACAGCTAGCAAAGCCTGGCTTCTTCCTCCCCATGTTCAACTAAGGAGAATATTCCCCTCTCCCATGGAATACAGAGCCCAACTCCAGTCCCCGCCCTGTGGGAAGCCAGTGACCCTACACAGTGGTCACTAGATGCCCACTGGCCACGCTCCACAGAGTAGTCTTTGGTCCTCTCTCCATGTCCAAGATAAATCTTCATTTATACACAGACTTCAGTTATTCCTTCTAAGGCAACTCATTTTCTAGAAGGTTCCCTGGAACTCAAAGCCACTGTCCTCCATTTCTACCACCACCCAGTTATATTCTGAGCACCTGTGAGATCACACCACCCTTCCATTCCTTCACCCTTCTCATCTAAGCAGCAACCATGTCTACCGGCATGTGTCATATCTACCCCTCTCCTCTCCATCCCCAGACCCCCTCAACTCTGTGCCTCTTCATCACCCCCGACCCAGAGACCATGGCAACCTGCTAACCCCTGCGTTCTCAGTCCACCTCACTCCACTACAGCTGAATCGGTCTTGTATCATGTCCCTGCTGACGATCTGTCCCTTGTCTGGAACCCAGTTTAATTAAAGTTATGCAAAAGGAGAAAGATTAAGGCCTGGGTACCTTATACACCATCGGAATCCTCACCTAGTTTTCCAGGGCTGGAATCAGTACCCAGGACCTCCCCGCTCCCCCCCGCCATGCCAGGTGACACCAGACTTTCATGACAAATGCATGAGAGAAACAATTTAAAAGGAAGAAGGTTTCGTTCTGGCTCATGAGTTAAGAAGACTCAGGTCATGGGCTCCATTTTTTTTTCAGGTCCATAACAAGGCAGGAACATCATGGATGAGCAAGCTGCTTACCTTATGGCAGACAGGAAGCAAAGAAAGATAGGAAGCAGGTAGGGCAGCTCCCAACGGCATGTCTCCAGTAACTGTTTCCCCTAGGTAGGCTCCACTAACTAAAACACCTAGCACCTCTCAGAATAACATCACCAACTAGGAACCAAATTCTTCCACACACAAGCCTGAGGGAGACAGTTCATGTTCAAACCAGAGCAAGCCGTCTACCACTAAGGTACACCCTCCCGCCTGCACTAGAGGTTTTGTTCCTATTTATCATGATGTACTGAGATCATTATCTCCTGATTCACACCAATTTTCTCCAGTGGATGGGCAGCTGTGCTGGTTAGGGTTTTTGCTTTGTTTTGTCAACGTTACACAAGCTAGAGTTACCAATGAAAGTGGGAAGTTCACTTGAGAGAACATGCCCATCAGGTTGGCCTATAGGCAAGCCTGTGGAGCATTTCCTTGATTGGTGGTTGATGTGGGGGAGTCCACCTCACTCTATGCAGCGCCATTCCTGAGAAGGTGGTCCTGGGATGTATAAGAGAGCAGGCTGAGCAAACCAGGAGAGACTGGGCCAGTAAGCAGTACTCCTCCATGGCTACGCTTCCGGTTCCTGCCTTCAGGTTCCTGTCCTGACTTCCCTTCATGATAAAGTATAAATTGTAAGATGTTCAGCTCTTTGTTTTGTTTTGGAGACAGGGTTTCTCTATGAAACAGTCCTGGCTGTCCTGGAACTCCCTCTGCAGACCAGGCTGGCCTCGAACTCAGAGATCCACCTGCCTCTGCCTCCCAAGTGCTGGGATTAAAGGTGTGTGCCACCACCACCACCCAGCTGTAAACTGTTCAGCCTTATTTCTAAATCCTTTCCTCCTGATGTCGCTTCTGGTCTTGCTGTTTATCACAGCAATAGAAACCTAAGACTTTTCCACCGAGTACTCCCAGACCGTATTATTTCCTGCCTTTGCCTACCTCCCCGTCAGTGGCAGCTAACACCCTTGGTTCTAAAAAGTAATCCCAAGGACAATCAGTGGAATGAGGTGCCCACCCAGGGACCAGTTACTTGACGCCAAGCAGTGAGATCATACAGCAAATAAATGACTGCTGAGGGCCACTCCTGCGTGGTTTGACGTCTCCGTCCAAAACTCACCTTGATGCGTAATTGCCACCATGATGGTATTGAGAGACAGAGGCTTTCTAGAAGATTAAGTCAAGAAGCACCTCCTTCGTGAGGAAGGGAGGCCATTTATCACGAGAATGGCTTTGTTATGCTAGGAGTGGCTTCGCTATAAAAGTAAAGTCAGCTTCCTCTGCTCTTCCTGCTCTGCACAGGAGAGGGAGTGAGGAAGGCAGTCTACAGCTGGGTGTGGCAGTGCATGTCTGTAATCCCAGCACTTGAGAGGCAGAGGGAGGAGGATCTGGAGTTCAAAGTTAACTTCAGCTATGTAGTGAATTCAAGGCCACTCTGGGCTAAAGGAGACGGAAAGAGAGAGGGAGAAGGAGAAGAAAACAGAGGAGC